CAAAGGTTATACAAATATAAATACTTATTTATACTTATTTTGTGTTTTTGTAATATTATAGGGAAAATATTACATTGCTAATTATTTTATTACCCTTTAAATTGATTTCTGAAGTGCAGTGGTTTCAAACTTTTCAGATTTTGACCCACACAACAACAGTAGCAGAGACCTGAGCCCCCAACTGTGGATGATAAACATTTGTATCAGGTCAACTAAACATGGGCACAGTAACAATATTTAATATTCTGCATTTATACATTTTAAGCAACTAAGGCAAAATGTCATTAGTTCAGAAAATCTTTTCAGGACCCCACCTTGATGTTTCAGGACCCCACTTTGGGTCCCGACCCCAACTTTGGGAACCACTGATTTGATGCAGCTGAGCCCAACAAAGTGACAGAACCACAGCTTCAATACCTCTGACGTCTTTTGTTTTTATAACACATGTAATTAATGTTTAGTAACAGTTGTTTTTAAATTTTTACCTTCAACCTGCCACCTTTTCAGGAACTTCTTTGTGTAGAAAGACTGATAAAAAGGATTTTGTCTTTGTTTTGTCCTTGTGTAATGTTTAATAACTCAAAGCATTTCATTCCAACAATGTGACTGTTAGAGGGTTTTTATGTTCACCACTCTTAACCTTTGACCTGCAAAGATTCAGTGTCATTTGTTGCCAATAACCACATCCAGGTGAGCTTCTCTCTTTCTATCAATCACTTGTTCAAATGATTCAATCACAGCAACAGAGCAGGAACAGGATTTTGCAATTAATCACTTAGCATTTTTACTAGAATGTTAAAAACTGGTACAAATGTTGCAGTGGCTCAAACCAGTCAAATCATTATCCTGAAAGCAAATCAACACATTGAAACATTACCTGTCCAAAGCAATGTAAAATGTCATGTCACTCTTCTCACACAGTGCCGTGCTCTAAATATCAGATGTGCCTCCCAGTTCAGTAGTGAAACGTTGAATGGAGTAAGTTTATGATTCACTACACTCAGCAGGTGGGATCAGTTTTTGTCTTTATGCTTTAAAACTAACTGACACTTGTGCTTCATGGCAATTCAGTGTTTCAAGACGCTTCTTTTCTATAAATGATAAAAACAAGTAGTGGCTGCAGTGCAGACAAACTGAGCTGTGGGCCGATAAAAACCACACGGCWGGCAGGTCTCTGTAGGAACGAGCTTCCAGGGGAAAAAGGGAAACATGCACTGCAGGAACCCTGAGCTTAATGCTTTTTTTCTCTGAATGTAAATATAACCTTAAAATTGGCCTTTTTTATTTATACAGCTTATTTGCTAAGATAAGCAAATTGTACTTTTTACAACTAATATTGTTTTATTTTTATTCTGCAGTGTCCCTGTGTCGCAGCATTTGTAAAATACCAACTCAGTTTTGTCTACTCCTGTTTTTCTCTTGTGTCACTTGGTAGCTCAGAGATGTAGAAAACATTAGATTCATAGAAAAACTAACCTTTATCTCTTTTCCTAATAGCGCTTAGATATGCAAAAAAAATAAGCGTATTATTTAAAAGTCAAATGTASACAAATGATAAGATTCCTTTAATTTGGAGCAGAGAGTTTTTCAGTGAACTCTGATAATGGAGATCAGTCACAGACCGGCTGCTCTGCAGCTTTAAAGTGATGGATACACTGAAACAGAAAAGAGAATATACTGCAATACTAAGGTGTGTTATGTATCTGCTTGAGGCATTGTGTGCTGTACTGTTTCTGGAAAACTAACCCAATGAGTAAATAAACATGTACTACGCATATACTGCAAATATACCATGGAGGTGGCTGTTTTATTTCTGTGGTTCTCTGTTTGTCTTTGTGCCTGTGTATAAATATAATGTAAAGTGAAGTGGGTGACTTACACTTCAAATTATAAATGCAGTTAAATGGATCCAACAAACTGAACTGAAACTGAGCGCATGTGAAACACCTCACCGACACGCCTCTGTTTAAATGTGTAAAATAGATGCAAAATGCGCCCACCACYCACAAAATTTCTTTCTACGTGATTAAATATGATTTCTAAATGAAGGAAAAGATGAATTAAATGTAAGCGAGACTCTCCTAATGGGGTATAAAAAAGTGTTTGACTGTGTTTACATCCAACTCTGTACATCACAAACTTTCAATACGTTTCTCAGATGTTTTCTCACCCTCTAAAATGCCATTGTAGGAGGTGAGCTTAAAGTGAATTAAGCTTCTCCCACATCTCTCAATGTTATGAGGAAAGTTTTACCAAGGTATTTCTCATTACTTGTTAATATCTTGWCTGTGAGAAGTGAAAAGTGACACAATAAGTGAACGTTCAGATGAGTTCAAGTTGATTCATAAAAGACTATGCAATCATTTATTTACACAAAT